CCTGCCTCTCGGCGGCTCCGCGCCCGGCGGCCTTGGGCCCCGCCGCCAGGCCCGGAAGCCTGACAGCCGCCTCCGGGCCCGGCTGACAGGCCGCGGGGCAGGTCGGGCTGTGTCACGCCCCTGGCTGCGGCATCCGAGCGGGGGGGCGGCGGGGGAGAAGGCGCTGTCACTGCAAAACTTGCACCTGGGCAGTGCCCTTTACTTGCATCCCCGCGGCAGTGAGGCCGGAGAGGTGGCACGTCCCGCAGTTTTGCGGCGAGGGGCCACCGAGACCGCTGCTGTGAGGTACCTTCGGCTCGGGCTGCAAGGATGCCCTCTCCAGCCCCGGCTGGAGGTGCTGTAGCAAACAGTGTCAAGACGTGCTGTCAAAGGAAAACTAAAGCCCTGGCTCTTTCCTTCTCCTTTACGGGGACGATTATTTTTTTTCGTTTGTCTTTTTCTTGACCACTGCTTTCCCAGATGCTTCAAGTTGCTTCTGTGGTCTCTTCCTCACCCATTTGCTTGCCACTTTTTAAAAACTTGCTGCGTTCAATTTGTCATTGGCTGCTGTGTAACAAATAATAACGCTTAGCGAATGCTGCAGACGTAACCGTATGCTGATAGGAATTGCTATTTGAAGCCCCTTTGCCAGTACATTCAGCGCCTCCTCAGCACAGTGTGGATATGAGTAGCATGCTTTCATCAAACTGTTGTCAGGAGAAGGTAACTAACATAGTTAACTACTGTACCTGTGTATTGTGCATCTTTCTTGTTGTTTTCCTCATACCTGAATAAATGCCTTCTTTAATAAGTTTGATGACACAGCTGTCATTTTACATGCTATTCTAAGGATACCTGCATAATTGTACTTCGTACCTATGAACCAAATTATCTGTTGCTAGACTATAATTATACATTACAGTCGCGTAACACGTGAGGTTGTTAAATACGCTGGATGAAACTACTATGTGATTCTGTCTTTTTTTAAACCTACATTTAAACCCTGGAAGCTTTTTTAGGCTGCTGCAGTAGCAGCTGTAGTACAAATGAATATTAAGAAATGTATCACAGCTATAATGACAGTGTTGGAAGCATTAGGCTGTAGATGATAAGCAAAAATTCTGATTTTTCTCAAGTATTTAGGTGAGGGACAGCTTGTTAAACCAGAGGACAGGAGATTACCTGCGCAGATTCAGGGGAAGTAAGAAGAAGTTTGTCTGCCCAGGGTGATGCAAAATGGTAGTGCAGGATTCGGAACAAGTGGCCAATCCTGGTGCATCTCTGAAAACTATAATCATTAAAAGTGGTAGAGATGGCAGCAAACAATGGCTTTGGTACATTGATCACATACTGATTAGATTTTTACAATGAAATGTCCTCAGTGTAATCATCTGTGCTGCACTTTTGCATTTAAGCTGCTTGAAATGTGAAATACAGAGTGGATGTGGGTCACTTCTGAAGTTGTTTCAGCTGCCTTAAGAGCCAAATATAGGAAGAGTGAGACAGAAAAAGGAAACAGAAGAAAACAGCTCACTGTTTGTGTTTTGTTTTTGTTTTTTTTTTTTAAATTCCTGTGGCTTTTATTCAGAGTTGTTACAGGAAGCTAATTAAAACTACTGCAATGATCATTCTTGAAGTGAATTGAATATGCCAATAGTGGTAAGTTGGTTTTGCTTTTATTTAGATCTCCTATGAGCTTTTTAAAGTATTCTAATATAGCTAGTACTGAAGAGCCAATTTATGTTGTGCACAGTTGTTTGTTGCCAAAACAGTTGTGATGGTTTAGGTGTTACTACTGTTCCTCAGACCAAGGCAGTTGAACTCACAGCTCTGCTGATGGAAATTAGGAGTGGATTGGGATTGTCCTGTTCAGTTCCAGTGGTGGTCTGCCACAGTGTTCCGACCAGTGAAGATATGCCACTGGCCTTGCAGGCCATGTAATCCTCATAGCGATCAAGAAATTTGTCTCTGGGGCTTGATTTAGAGTCTTTGGAAATGGATCAACTGCCTTGTGACTCAGCAGTTAGTTGTAAACAAACTGTAGGAGAAAAGTAAGACAGCATCAGCTGAGGACAGATGTTAACATTTAGCTCCTCTTCCTTTTCAGCACTACAAAACAAAGTGGGTTATGCGAACCATAAACAAACCAACGAAAAATCCTTGCAGTTGTACAAGACACTTGCATGTGTCTTCTCTGAATTGTGATTCCACATGCTTTCATCTACTTAAACACAGGAATTCAGTATGATTTTAGTCTTTTAAAATGACAGCCACAAAAAGTGACTGTGCAAGACTACAGCTCTTGTCCCCTTGCATTGCTTGGTTCATTGGTCATTGACATTCAGTGACTTTTTCTTTCACTGGTGCTTCAGGCACAGTAGCTTTATGAACATGGGATGGATTCTATTCTGGTTGTTACATTTTATATATTGAAAAAAAAAAAAAAAAAGTTTTTTTTCTATCTAGTCAGAACTGTTTTAAGATCTATTTAGTTTTCTGTTGTGGGAGAGACCTGAAAGGGCATGGCTGTCTTCCAGGTACTCAAACAACGTTGCCATAAATCTGGGTGGCTTTTACATTGTATCAGTGGAATTTCATGGAGTTGGTATCTTTAAGAGAAAAATACAAGTAGTATGGAATACTGACTGCTGTGAGAGTTAACCAGGAAAAATCATCTGATCTGGATATTTCCAAAACATTATAGGAGTTTGCAGATGCATTTAGAAGCATATGTGGTGCATTCTGCTTAGGGCTGTACCTTTGCCTTGTGGCTGATAGTGTCTGTTTCATGTTGATTGCTGGTAGGAGTTGGTGTGTTCTTCCACTCTTCCCTACACATCGGCTTTTGGCCACCAGTTGAAGTCAAGATTGACTTTGATCTGAACACTCTTAGCACACTAGTATTGCCTGTTTTGGCAGTTGGTGACTGAAAGTCTGTCACTTTTTTTTCTTAAAAGTTTTTCTGTGTGATGGTGAAATCTTGTTTTCTGCTTAAATGTTTTTGTTACCAGCAATGTACCACATAGGAATAAACTGGGAATGATACATAAGATTTCTGTGAGGACTAGAGCTAGAATTTTTTTTTTTCCCTGAATATTTAATATGCATTAAACAGGATTTTCTTATGTTACAGTGTATTTACTAGATTCTACCAGAGAATGCTACTGAACTTTAGTATACCTGAAATACCAGTTTTGCAGTGGTCCAATTTCTTGCCACCAACATAACTTCAGTTGTATCGCATCTAAATGTCTCTCTATGATCGGTGTTGCTGCATCTTCCATGAGCAGGTCTGTCTTCTGCTTTTCTTGAATGTGTTAGTTCAGCAGCCCTCAGAGCTTCTTGCATAATGAACTTTCACTTGCCTTTCAATTTCAGCAGATGGTTGCTGGTTGTAAACCAACAATATCTCAAAGTTATTCTTATTAGGGGAAGATGATGGAAGAAAATATAATTGCTTGGTGATCTAATTCTCCTCATTCTCTAAGCTGTCTAGAAAACCATTTCACTTGAACTAGGAGGTTCTCAAATGTTGAAATTTGAACAATTGAATTGGCTTTATTTTTCAGTCCTCCTTCTGAAATGTTTCTAGTGTCATTGCACTTTGTTCTGCAACAGCAGCTGTTACTACCTAGCAATGTGCGTGCCCAGAGCCTCTTGCCATTATTTTCTACCAGTATGTAACAATGCTTCTTGGCTAAACAGGTTTTCATCCCACTAGAGCTGGTGTTAACACTTCATGATAGCTTGCTCATACTGAAAACCAGAGTACTGATCTGCACTACTTATATCTTTCTTTAGGACCCTTTCAATGTTACTTTCACCCCTAAAAGAGCAGATATTAGGCGTTGTATAAGTACATCTTAGCCTCTTAGAAGTAGTTAACTAGAATTAACAAACTGTAAGTAGATGCCCATACAGATGGTTTCATGAGACTGTTACTGTGTACCCTCATACTAATGATAATCTTTAATTTAAAAAACCCAACCACCACCACCCCCCTAAAAAACCCCAACAAAAAAATCGCTAACACCACCCCACCCTCCAACCTTGACTAAAACCATTTTATTATGAATGCCTGGCAGTTTTCTAAGTCTTTTGTGATCATCCAGGACACAAAGAGGTTTCTTACAGACTCATGTAGTTTAATTTTGTTTGGAAAGAATTTTTATTTATTTTTAAAACCTGCAGTTAGCAGTTGGGTAGTGCCGTACTAAATGAAATGTGATAAAGCTGAACAGCTCCTTTCAGTTTGTAGATCTGCACTAGTTTTTATGTAGGAGGGAAAGCTTACATCATTGGCTTCAGATACGCTGTTGTAAATAATTTACAGCAATGTTTATTTAAGTATTGAAGCTGAATCATCTTTGAAAGAGTTAAAAAGCCATTTTTATGACATTCCTTTTCCCAGACTTATGTAGTCATGGTGAAGGATTTTGGAGGTTATTTTTCTTCCCTTCTTGTCCATGCTCACGTTGGTATGTGAAGTCCCTTTGCTCTATAACTGACAGTTTGCAATTTTGTAGTTTGTCCTTCCTATTAATTTAAATAAAATTTTCCCATTTGATCACAGAGTTTTGACTAACGGATAACTGGCTTAAAAGAGGTTAAGAAAAATCTTTGCTTTAGGTTAATGTCTCATTATGCTTAGGCCTGTGAAAGGGCATTACTGCACTTTGTTGGGTTGCATAAAGATGCTGTGGTTGGAAAGGAAGGAGAGAGGGAATGAGCTGTGGGCTGTGATAAGCAAAGGGCTTATGAAACATCTGGAAGCTGTGCAGACTACTAGAAAGAACTAGAAGTACCTCATAAGCCAGGTTAGAGGTATATATCTTGACATTTGTACTATTTAATTACCTGGTTTAAATCTGAGTTGGCTTTAAAATCTATGTTGTTTGAGACTGTCCTTAGCCTATTTAAAGATTGATTTTTGTTTGTTTTCTACAGGGAGGTAAGAGAAGCAGGAAGTTTGTTTCAGCTCATTTGGTATTGGGCCTTTGGTTTCATGGGCAACCAAGCTGACATAGTTGATTACAAGTAAAAGGAAGAGGTCTTGGTTCCCTTACCTTGTGGTGACCTTCATAGTTTACCATGAGCTGAATCAACCTGCTAACGCAGTAGAAAACTACCTACTTTGGGGGTTAACTTTTTACTTGGTGGCTGAATCAGCTGAGTTGGCCTGGGGTCTGGAGTACTTTCAAAGGAGGAAACTGGACCTAGGGGGATTGGTGAGAGCAAGATATCAAACGGGCAGTGGGTCTTTGTCTCTGTGGGTGGTGAGCTGATTGATCACCCTGTCTTGTGAAGCAACAACAAAAAAAATAGTTCCGTAAGATGGCCGAGTTAATCCAGTGTTTATCTGCTGCCGAAATGGGTGGACCTGGTTACCACTCCTTGTCTCAGCTATGAGGTTCTGCTTCTTAGCTGTCACCATCAGTGCTTGTCTCATCCTTCAGAGAGCCAGTTCAGCTCACAAAGATGGTTTAAAAAACAAAACCAAACAAATGGTTGGTATGGTCGGAAAAGTGTAAGAGCAATTTTGAGTAAGGAGGTAGAACTGTGGGGGAAGGAGGGAGTCTACTCATCAGAGGCAGCTAGCAGATTAACTAAAGATATTTGTCTTCAGAATTCAGTTTTGATAGCCAGGCTGGGATGACTACTACTGCAGTTCTTTTTCTCTGTCACCTTTCTTGGGCTGTGGTGGTGCTTATGTGAAAAAGTAAGGAAATTATCTTAGTCCCCTGTCCCCCCCTTTTTTGAGGCTTTTTTAGTTTTGAGCTAGATCAGCTTTCTAAGACAAACAAACATCAGTGGAAGGAACACTGAGTTTTGTCTAGTGGTAAGAAAAGCCTGGAAGTTTTCCTCATGTTGACAGTAGTGCACCTTTGACTTTGCAGCTGATGACTGAACTTTCCTTGTCCTAGGCACAGGGAGTCACAGGAGCTGGAAGGGGAGAAGGAAGCAAGTCAGCTCTCTTAGCAAAAGCCATTTAACTGGCTTAGCTGTATCATGACCTGTGCTGTGGTTCCAGAGCTGCTTTTAATTGCCATGAGTGCAGCCTGCTACTGAAAAGAACAACCCTTCCCTTTGCTATATATTTTGTACCCTAGTCTTATGCACATACTAGTGTGTTGGGTGATTGTAGTTTTATGCTGGGTCTGTTTCTTGGTTCAGCTCATTGCATAACCTTATGAGTGAGAAGGGAGAGGTTACCTTTGCCACTGAGCTGTTCTGGCTTGCTGAGCAGTGAAATGAACACTAGTGTTGATCTAAGGAAGGGAGGTGTTGGAAGCGTGGCTGGGCCAAGGTAGACAATAGCAAAGCTCTGGCAATGCTGTGCCTAGGGAAGTAGACTGCAGAGCGGCATCCAGATAAAGAGGAAGCTGTTAAGGGAGGCAGAGGAATTTGGACAACCAACTCAGGCTGCTGGTTTGAAAATCAGAGCCAGAGGGTAAAACTACTGTAGTGCAAGTTCCACTTCCCATCACTGTTTGGGTACTAAGAAGTGATGAAGGGATCCTAGAACAGGCACTTGCAAAGAAGCATGCTGCTGCTCTGTGCACATAATCCATTGTTTTAATTTGCTCTTAAGCAAGAGCTTTTGTTTACTGTGTTTGTTGTTGAAGTGTATCCAAGCTCTGCTCATTTCTTGTTTTAAGATACTAAGATTTTTTTCTCTGGGGGTGGTTTATCTGAAACTATATTAAAGTAATTGTGGCAGTAAAATGGAGAATGAGTTAATAAATAACTGAATCTGTCCCTTTTGTGTTCTACAATTGACTATCATAGGACATGCTCTACTTTTCCTAGAGTGTCTGCCTTATTTCAGGTGTAAGATTTATAGTGCTAAGTGACTGAGATACCTGGTAAACAGCAACTTCGCTCTTAGAGTTAACCAGTGTAGTTACTTTAAACCATCTGTATGCCATGGAATTAGCTGTCATGCAACTGTTAATTGATCTTTGCAGCATCTGTTTATGTCACAAGGTGGTAAACTGCTCAGGAGTTCATATACAGCTCCTGTTCCTGATACAGGTTGCTGGCTTTGTCTATGATAGCGCAGTCTGCTCAGGCTCTGGAAGTGAATGGGCCACAAGCTATTCTCGTAAGAACTTTTCTGTTACAAACTTGCAATGTCTTAAAACTATAAAATAAAAACAAAATATTACTATTAAATGTAGGCAGTAAAATATTTGTAAGTACTATCTAAAATGGATTATAACCTAAATTTAACAGGTACTACAGCTTCGTTTGCAACTTTTTGAACCTCTTTTTCAGTCAATAGCAGTACAAAATTTAGGGACTTCCAGATATTTTTTGCTAGAAGGTTCTGAAGTAGCAGGAATGGCATTAAACAAACTAGTTATTTCTTCTGATTCTGTGTGTGAACCCATCAGTCTGTGGTCTGCTCCTAAAAGGCCTGCTACACAGAAGTAACTACAGGTGCAGTCGTCTTGTGCCAGTTTGAGACAGGGCTTGCATCTAAGGAGCTGTCCTTGTCTGTCATCTTCGCTGAGCTGATGCTAGTGTTTGTATATTCTCCTGAACCAACAAGCTGGTCACCAGTCTTACAAGAAGAAGAAATAGCAGATTGCCATTTGAGAACTAGTGCTTCGACACCTAATCAAGTGTCACTTTGTTGAGTAGGTTTTGAAATATTTTTCTAATGTTTGTAAGATTTGTGCAGGAGTATTGGATAGTTTTGAGGTTCTGGTTTATCCAATGATACTGAAATCACTTTGTAAGGTTAATGGCCAAAGCTATTCTACATTCTATTTCTGGTGTGATTTATAGGTTGTTTTTTTGTAAGTGACATGGTGATTATGTTCTGTGATGGGGCAGCTATATTTCATTGGTGGTATAAAAGTTTTCTGTATATATAAAGTGTTCTGTAAGTAGAAGAATTATTGATATTTTTAAGATCCCTTAGAGTTTTGTGTTCTCTGTCCCAACAGCTCCAGTATTCTGCTTGTCCCTTCTCCCTGTTTCTTTCTTGCCTCCAGCACTCTCCCCCATTCCTCATCCACTTCTCTTATGTCCACTAATTTTGTCAGACAAAATCTATACCTGCTTCCAAGCTGCTTGTGTTCTGACAGCTTGCTATCATAAGCCAGAGCGCTACAGAAAAGAGATCTGTTAAGGCTGATGCTGCAAACTTTGCCTTGGGCTGTAGTTCCATGCCGCTCTAAGCTGTTGATCTGCTGGTTGCTGCATTTCTCTTCCCTCATTTGAACTAACTCTCATGCTTGTCTGACCCTGCATTAAGCCATTTCTGTTTGCTTTGTCAGTCTTATCATCAGATTCGCATGCTAACCCAGTGGACAACTGAAATTGCTTCAGAATTCATCTAAGCCATGTGGAGAAATGGGCACAAACATGCAGTAGGGAAGAGAGTGGGGATAGCAGCACCAACAACTGGCTTAGGCTGCTGGAATTGCTGCATCGCTTGGGATATATTCGTCTCAGAGTGTCATCAATTTGTCACAACTTGTTTTGTGACAAAACTAAATGCAAGTCTCTTATTTCTGTTAGATTTGATTGAAACTCACCGCTGGTCTTAGCTTTTTAAGACCAAAACGACAGGTGGGCAGTGATTACGATTGTGTAGGCTTTGTTTCCTCATGAAACCATACTAAAAAACGTTGCTGAATTTAGTAGCAGAAAGATCAATGTCACTTTATGCAAAATTCTGGTATGCATACCTTGTGTCTTGCAGTATGGTTCTTTTCCTTATCTCTTTGTTTGCTCTCTTTTATTACCAGATATGTCACTTCTGATCAGCTGTTGCTGACCTCTAGTGTGTGGCTAAAATAGCCTTATCTTGCTGGACAGATAAAGTACAGCAGGAACTTGAATGCTACAGTATTATATGTTATGTGATAATGGTTCAGAGTTTAAATGTATGTAAACCAAATGTATGACTGTCAAGTTTTAGAAGGCTGAAAATGCAAAATTTAACTGAGCAGAACAGGAAAAATGACCCTCCAAGTAAAAGAACAAGGAAAGATTAACCATAAAAAGTATTACCTTTACAGATCTAGGTAGTCTGAGTACTCCTATTGACGGCATTAACTTTTACTTCTCTGTGCTTTCACATACAGAAGAAATTGCCCATTTGCTGACCAGTGTCCATGTAATGTGAAGTAGTTAACCCATTTGGGTTGGAAATCAGGAGGTCTGAGCAGGACAATCTTTGTGTTGTCTGGCTGTAATGTGAACTCAGCTGTTGCTGTTTTGCTTGGACTATTTTTTGGCCTGTTGGGAACCAGTGGGCAGTAGCACATAGTGGTTTCAGCAGCCATGTATGTACTTCTCTTACCTCAGCTGATAAATTAGGAGTTAGATGGGAGTGAGGTGCTATTAAGGATCTAGTTAGGTTGGAAGAAAGCTGAAAGTACTGAAGGAGAAGCAGATGTAGGATTGTGAGGAGTAGCAGCAAGACTTGAAGTTACTGTGGAGAGGATGTGAAATGATACTTTGAAGGTCTGTTAGGAAACTTTTCTGCTGAATTTGAAAAGCAGAACTACTTTTTCAAAAGAGGACTTAATTTTTGTTCAATTTTTGAAAATAGCTGCTTTGACTTTAATGTTTCTGGAACTTTAAAAGCTGTTGTGTTATGAAAAGTTGCATACACTTCAAAGTAGGTGAAATCTAGTATCTCAAGTTCCAGCAATGAATTTTAAACAACATATAACATTCACTTAAATTAATTTCTGTTGGTTCATAACAGATTTTAATTTGCTTAAAACTTCTTTCTTTTCTTTTTTTTAGGTGTTGGGAAATCATGTTTATTGTTACAGTTTACAGACAAGCGGTTTCAACCAGTTCACGATCTCACTATTGGTAGGTCTCTTTTGTACCCCACAATGCTAAAGGTTAAGCAGCTAAGGTACCTACCTCAGCGTGCATTTGTGAGTTTGTTGTACTGCAGTAATGTAGAATTTGTGTTGTATTAAGGTAACAGTGAATCTTTAGCTGATGAATATTTGTTAGCTAATAAAGCCAAGTGGAGGTCTTTTTTTTTTTCTTATTGGGAAGGTGCAATCTGAAACAATTTTAAAAAATCATAGCTATAGTATCTCAACTGTCTCTTCAGAAAAGCTAAAAACTGGGCATGGAAGCAGAATTGGCCAAACTTGAAATGCATTGATGGTAATGCAAATGGCAGATTTTTCACAAGGGAATACAATATTAGCCTAGCCACAGGACCTTGAAGAGAAGTTACAGATAAACTAAAGCAAAGTTAACCTTAAAGATGAATAAACAGATTTACTGTTTGGGAAGACTAACTTCTGGATAGAGAAGGATTGAAGTGTGATGGTATTCCCTGTTTGGAAGGGACAGGGGTTTTTCTTCCTACTCCTCAATTGGATGTGGACCATTTGTGTTGGGTATGATTTGATATTTGTACTAGGGGAAATGAATACATGTTGACAGAAGGCATTGCCTCTGATCTAACTACAGTAAATGATAAACTTTTATTTATCTTTCCACACAAAATATGAGGAATAGTGTGGGAATAAATTGTTCTGTGGGCAAGCTTAGTCTTCAGATGAGTTTCACTGTTAAGCATAACAGATCCTAATCTCTGATAAGGTTGCAGAACCTTTGAACTTCTTGATGTTATTTCAAGGAACTTTTCAGTTCTAATCGTGATGAGCCTTGCACAAAATATATCCCTAGTCTCTATTTTTAATTTGTGCCCTGGAATAGGTAGGCTTCCTGTGTTTGGGAGTACTGAAATAGATGCTTGAAATATAAACAAATATTCTTTATGTAACAGAATGTATCAGGTGGTTTGGTTATGACTTCCCTTTCTCTCTTGACAGTCCTCCTGTGCCTTGTGTGTGGCTGTCTAATATAATACAAATTCTTAGGCTAACATCACTTCTCAGATATTTCTGAGGTCTTGGCAGCAGATAGGCTGGCTGGATAAAGAGCCTGAGTTCTTTAGGGAGGCATAAATTATTGTCATCATTTCTTCTTTAGGCCTGCCAAATATATGACACCTTATGTATCACTTATGCCTTTGGCAGCCCTGTCACATCAGGAAACTGATAGGCTGTAGGAAGAAGCTTCACCTCAGCAGGGTGGCCGTAGTGCCAGTTCTTTGCCTGGCGTATACCTAGCTGAAACCTGGGAGCGGAAATTGAAGCTAGTGGGATGAGGAGGTGAACCTAGATAGCAACATAATGAGGGATGTAGGAATGGAGCATGGGAAGCTGCTTGGAAAGGGGAAGAAGGGTCACAAGCTGGAAGCAGCCTCCTTTCACTTAACTGATAGGGCATGTGTGTGTGTTTGGCCAGGAGAATGGTTCTCCCAATTACCCAAACAGATTTAGAAAGACAGAGATAAGTAAAGAACATGGGTTCAAAGTCATATGAATGCCCATGCAGGGCAAGATGGGATGGGTTGATGTTACCTAATGCACTTCCAACTGATGATGTTAGAACTCCTGAGAGTCTATAGATTGAATAAAAAGGCTTGTGTTACATAGCCTAACTTTTTCAATATAATACAGTGATTTCAGCCTATGGGAGTGCAGATCTGTTTCTGCTGGGAGCAGCTTGGGAGAGGAGAAGGGAAACTGATATTGGACATGTGGAAAAAAGACATTTCATCTAGAGTTGTGCAAAATTCAGCCTCAAATTTTAGTATAGCTAGCCTAAAATGTTATCTTTAAGATTTAAGAAATTCAGAGAGAAACTTTACCTGTAATGAAAACAAGGGGGGGGGGGGGGGTTGAATGCATAGAAGCAGGTATTTTTCTGTGTTTGAGCTACGCTCAGAATTGTGCATAACTGTGAAAGTACTCTAAAAGAACTTAAAATGCAACAACCATCTCCATTTATTTTTCATTTGGGAATTGAAGTATCTGTTATTAAAAGAAATGAAGAAGGGAGGGAGAAGCTGCATGATGCAGTTGCAGGGGGAAAAAAGCCTAACCTTCCTGACCCCCCCCCGCCCCCAACCAAACACAACAACAAAAAACAAACATACACAAAAACCCAACTGCAAAAAAAAAACCCCACAATGTTTGTAGGTAGATGTGGGTGACAGAAAACACTGTAAACATTTATTTGGTTTGCCTGTTGTCCTTAGGACGTGCCCTTACTGTAAACCTGAACAGCTTCTATTCCTTAAGAGAACAAACTTATCAACAAACTGGATGTGTTGTTTCAAATTCAGAATTTTCTCTCAGCAGATATTTTGATGGAAAAGGATAAATATCCTTTTAATTTTATGTGGTGTTGTGTGTAGAAACCAAACATTTAGGATGACTGCTGGATTTAAATCAGCAGCTCTATATCTGCATTTTGAGATGAAGTAATACCTGCAGCGTTGCCAGTTGTAGTCCAAGGACCTTCCCCTGGCTTTGCAATCAACTTCGGAGAGCATTGTCATTAACCTGCTTCCTCCTTTCTGCCCCTCCCCCTCCATTCTTTCTATTTGTTTGCATACAGTTACTGCAAGTTATTTGGATGCTAAAGAGAGCAGAGTGTTCTTTGGCCCACGGCTTTTATTTGGCTCTGATATCCTGTGGGAGAGGAGAATGGTTCCTCCTTGCCCCCTTCCCCAAAAGTCATGCTGCAGAAAGCAACGCTGCACCCCCAAATATTCTAAACAAACTTTTGAAGAGATGTTTGGAATACTTCAAATCAGGGCTGCTTAGTTGGAAGACTTCAGTCCAAATCTAGACAGTGATCAATTTTAGACAAAACTTAACCTACCAGATCTTTATTTTTTTCTGAAATAATGGATACACAACGCATAGATTAATGAAAACTTGATAGCTTTAAATAAGTCCACTATCTCTAGGCATTTATCAGATTTTAACTACTGTAGTAATAGTCTCAATTTATGCTTAATTTACTGTTAAGGATCTTAAAACTGCTTTAATAGATGGTACAAAAGGCTGAGTTTTTTCCACTGAAGAAATTCCTTTTGTTTATTTGAAACACATTTAATTTTTTCCTTAGTTATTAAATTTGATCTTTAACTAGCTAGAATTTTGGAAGCACTTTTTTTTTCATAAAGGCAGATGAATTTTAATTAATAAAGTAATAAAATTTATCTTGTTGAAGGTGATATTTGTATGCTCAATAGAAAATTTTATTGATAAAGAATTTTAAGTTTAATTTCTTCTAAACTGGCTTCAGCAATGTGTCATTGGTAGAGTGCTAAAATAACTGTGACTCTTCCAATTTCCTGTTTGCATTCAAATGTACATGTTTTTGTCCCTTTGATCTGGACCTACTAAATTGTTTGGAAAACTTTGTAGGAAATACCTCCTTGGCACTTGCTCTAATTAATGCATTTTTAAAGCACTTGCAAAGTAACAGTTTTCTTCCTTCTGGAAAACTTTCCAGCTCTTTCAAGAAGCTGGAAAATTAACTAAAAGCAGATTGTGAAAGAGATTATTTCCTACAAATACAATGTTGAGTTAACTTAAACTTACCTTCTTGCTTTCATAGTAATTGATATTCTTCTTTCTGATATATGCTAATAACGTAATCTTTTGTAAAATCTATTCAGGTGTAGAATTTGGGGCTCGAATGATAACTATTGATGGAAAACAGATAAAGCTTCAGATATGGGATACGGTAAGTAATACATCATAGAAATTATTTAAACATATGGCTCCACTAGTTTTCCCTTTGTTCTGGTTAAGTTCTATCATCAGCACCAATGTGAGACTATGTACTTTGTCTTGCAGCTTTCTGTGGTTTCTATGAAGATTAAAAATTTGCTAAAATTTCCTTTTTTGGTGTGATGTACTCTTAAAACAGTGCAAATTTCTGCTGTTTGCACTGTAACTTTACTTCCTCAAGTAACACTTTGTCAGATTTGTAAGACTGGAATTGGTGCTGCCTCACTTTTTTGTGAAAGTTTTCTATATTATTAAGAACTTAGATTTCTCTAAATAGTCTTTCTCTGTGCATTCATGCAAGGTCTGGTTAATACAACATCCTGTTGGGAAATTGTGATATGTCTACTAGCTTTAATCAGGAATTCTCTGGAGGAAATGTTTGCATTTCCAATGTAGAATAAAAGATATGGCTCACTGTTTTCATAGAAGATGACTTAGGAACTCAAGTTCACTATAATCATGAAGATAGTAAATACTTCAGACAATCAAGAAGGGACTGGTAAAACCTTAAAGTTTCGAAAAGCCTACCAAAAAACAGACTTTGACTTTTGAGGGGGTTCAGGTTAAGAACACACATTAGCTGGTTTTTTTGTCAGTCACTTTACCATACAGCAGCCAGCCTCAACTTCTGTGCTTGTGATGCAAGGGCTTTAAGATGCTCATGCTGATAGCTATGTCTTTCAAATGTGCTTAACTGTTCCCTAAGGCAGGGTTGTCTGTTTCCTTTTCCAAAAGTATTTTAGGATGCATTAGGGACTTGACAGATACATGAACAATAGCCTCATGTATGTGTTCTTTTTGGTATAGCAAATGAAGGAAGGAAGATACATTCATATAGGCATGTCTACATACGTACATGTGTATATAAAAATGTAAACAAATACAGTATTTTAGCTAACTTCATAGGTAAGATCTGAAGTACCTTACTTATTTTACAAGTTCATCACTTGAAATGGCATCTAACACCTGTGCCTCCTTGCAAGTTCTCCATGAAAAGGTATAGAAGAATATGATCAGATTCTTCTTACTTCAGGCTTTTTCTGCCCTGGGCATTTTTACTATTAGAACTGTGGATTGCTGACTACCAAGGTGGCTGATCGTTTTTAGGTTCAATAGACAAGCAAATCTCTGCATAAACGGTAGCTTCAGAAGCAAACTTTTAGTATGTAGTATGACTACACAAGAACATATCTACATTGGTCCTTGTTTCCTAAAACTGGAACAGATTCTCTGTAGACAAAATTACTAATTTTACTGCCAATACAGCCGCTGTCTTTCATTGGCTTTCAAACTGATTTTGTTAATATGCTATTATCTGCTCTTTGGGTACAAGTGAACTTGAACTATTTTTGAGTAGATTGTGGTTTTTTGGTGCCTCTGACTCAGTAGCTCTTCGCAGTCTGGCTTCTTGAATGCGTGCAAAGTGTCTGATAGCCAAAATTTCAACAGAATTGCTTTTGTAAACTCTTTTTGAGCAGGGATTTTATCTGGCTAGCTTCTTAAGTAAATCATACATAAATTAAAAATACTCATTGAAAGCTTTCATACACTGAGTAGATTGTATGCTTGTGTTGTAGTTAAAAATTTACAAGTTGTAAGCAATGAATGACTTAGTATATTGGCTGTAATTAAAATTTTAACTGTATACAATCTGATTTTTAAAACACAGGATATTTCTATTCTAATCCAATCTTGGCTTGTAAGCATATCTAAATTCCACTGTCTCAGTTCTGATCTTGGGTGCAAATGTGTTGAAGGAATAGCAAAATAAGAAATATGATGAGGTAATTCTCAAGAGATATATTACTTATGAGTGTTAAGGTACACAAAGATGTCCATAACGATCAAGGTTACTATGTCTGTATTGTGTATCCGCGTTTACTGAGCATTTACTGAATTTCTTCATCTGTTAGCAAAAACTGCTAGCTGTTACTGGTGCTGTCTCCATATTTACTAAGTTGTAACAATTTCTGTTTTATAAGACAAAGTTCATCTTACACCTGTGGCTAAGGAAACACATGAAGTATTTATGTTTTCAGTTGGTGTTTACTGAGTCACAGCACCAGGACTTCTCTGATTTAGTGCTAGCCTTACATACCTTACCATCACTGAACAGGAAGCATCTTGAACAGAGACATAAGAAGTAGAGAACTGGATAAAATTTGTTTTGACTGCTTAACAATGAGCGAGGACTTGCTTTCTTAAGAGAATCACTTTAATTCAGATTTTTTCGGCCAGATATTTCTATGCAACAGTGCTCAGTTTGTGTTGTCTTCAGCAGATCAATGCACCTCCAAGGAAAAGTATATCTTAATAATGGGAATATATGGAAGCTGCAGCATACCTGACTGCAAGAGTATGTCATAACTTACAAGGGCAGCTGAAGCTAACAGTTGCATGTCTGTGAGATCCATTTGCGTGCTCTTCGTGTACCATAACTCAAGAATATTTGACTTTTTCATTAGCATCTACAGTTTGGATCAGGAGTGTGTTACGGAGGTTAGCTCTGCTTACTGCAGTCTGATTTTTCATGTGGGAGTAGTCAAACTGAATTTCTTTTGGATGAGGCTGAACTGGAAGATATGCTCAAGGAATGCATGTATGCCCATCGGAAATTGTAATCCAGTATTTGGTCCTGTGAGCTGGTAGTCTAGTAAAACTAGTCTGATGCAAAACCACACACACACACGCCACTCCCCCCCAAAAAACCCAAAACCCAACCTCCAAAAGTGCCCCCAAACCACC